CAGAGTGGCAACATTGCTCTTCAGTACCCTGGAGCAGTCCCTAACAGCAGACTTTCCCATCGCAATATGTCTTTTACTATCCTGGCTGCTGGTGCCAAGAATGTTGACCGTGGAGGCGAGCAAACTGAAGCTGTGAACAATCTCAATATCTTCACCATCCATCCTGATGCTACCAATGGGTCCAGTGGTGAGAATCTTTGTCTTCTTGACATTGAGCCTCAATCCATATTGGAGGCTGCAGTCCTTGACCCTCTGCAGCAAGCGCGTCAGGTCCTCCTCAGTTTCAGCAAGCAGGGTTGTATCATCTGCATAACGCAAATTGTTGATGGATCTTCCACCAATCCTGACCCCACATTTCTCCTCATAGATCCCAGCCTCCCGGATAATCTTTTCTGCATACAGGTTGAAAACGTATGGAGACAGGACATGTCTCTGGAGTTTGCACATGTTTAATATCTTTTTGCCTAAGGACGAAGTTTGGCAAAGCACTGGAGGGTAAAGGAGGTAAAACCAGAAAGGGTGCGGCTCCAGGAATTTTTGAATAGCCCACAGCTAAAGGATCTGTGAAATGGAAATGTTGGCAAGATAGCTGTTGGGAGACTTAGCATGCTCACTGAATTCCTACTGGGGGGATTCGAGCCTGCTTTAGAACATCTCATAAATTCCTGATCTGTTGAACCAGACACCTGATTACTTTTAAAAGAATGCAAACTTTGCTATTTTGGACTTAGTTTTGACTAAAATGTGAGGTGACAGGAAACTTTGGGGAAAATCCCTGACTGTGCTATCTTAAGCTTCATGTGGCAAAAGGAGAGACTGTTGTCTGGGGTCAAGAATGTGTTCCAGGTTTAGAGGGGAGAATTATTCCAACCCAGACAGATACCATGAGAACAGTATTGTCATTTTCAGAAAGGAGACCTATAAAGATGCACCTTTGGCTGGCTGCATCATGAAGGGTCACATGCCAAAAGCCACCAGGCCCAAATTCAAGAGGTATAAAAACGCAGGGGCTGGGAGAAGCAGGTGCTGACGGAAATTGCAGGAGATGAGAAGGAGAGCACAAAGCAGCTAGAAGACGAATGAAACAGGACACAACCACTCTGTGAGTAAAGAGTATCAAGTTAGTCAGAACCCCTTTCTCCCCATCAGCAAATGAAGGGAGACAAAGCTTAAAAATTGAGCAACTGAAGCCCAACAATTAAATTCAATTCATATTTTTTGAAGTGGTGATATATGCCTAGCATATACTTGATACTTCCACCTACAGTTTCTCACATCAAACATGGAAGGAAACATGGAAGGAAGTTGTGGCTAGTTTCATCTTGCAGTTCGATCTTACAGGAAGAAGCTGTCCTAGAGGAGCTAACGATGTTCCGAGATCATGCAGTCCGGAATGCTGAGCTGTGACATTGTAGCCTCACATTGCACTCCCACAGATGGTCAGAGAGACCTAGCTGGATGTTTTTAAATGGGTTAAAAATATCTAGAGAAATGATCATCATGAGTGCCAAAGTAACTTACAGAAAATACATTGCTGATTTTGGAGAAATTGTGGAGGATGTGAGAGATGCCAAATAACTGGAAACAATTTCAGGAAAGCGAAATGTATTGATCCCAGTAGACTACAGTGAGCCCAGCTCAATTCTAATAGTCAAGAAAAGAGATTCTTCGAAAATTGGTTCCCCAGCCTTTTAAAAAGAATATAATAATTACTAGTCATCAGCATGCTTTCACTGAAGGTAAAACAAGCTAATCTCACTTTCAAAAATGAGATAAATAACTGCTCTGGCAAATGGGAGATAAGGATAGTTGGGACATACGGTGAAGCAAGCCATGAAATAAAGGTTGTTGTATTTTCTTTGTAGATAAAACAGAAATGTGAGATGAATGACAGCATAATTAGGTAGACGTGTATCTCCACAAATGTTAACAGATTTAAATTTGAAGGAGACTCACTAGCAACATGTCAGTGTTCTTGTCTTTATTATTTTTATTATTACTATTATTTACATCATAGGGAGCTCTGGTGGCCTAGTGGTAAGAAGTCATGTTACAATACCAAAGGCACACAAAAAAATACCAAAGGCACACAGTTTGAATCCACCAGTTGCTCCTTGGGAGAAGAATGGTTAGTCTCCTCTTGTGTGATTTACTGGTTCTGAAAACCCACTGGAGGGTCAGCTATGAATTGATTCCAACTCAATGGTGCACAACAACAACAGATTCTTTAAATCAGTATTGTGGTTGAAAACATAGAAGCAATGCACACCCATGTTTATCACGGCTTTGTTCACAATAGCAAGGAGTTGGAAACAACCCAGGTGCCCATCAAGAAACCAATGGATAGAGAAGCTGTGGTATATTCACACAATGGAATACTACGCTGCACTGAAAAACAAGGAATTCATGCAATATTATTCAAAATGGGTGACCCTGGAGGACATTATGCTGAGTGAAATATCTCAGTCACAGAAGGACAAATACTGCATCTTGCCACTACTGTAGGATGGGACTGACATCAGGGTTGGGGTAAGACTGAGAAAAACTGGATAAATTATGTATATACTCCATTGAAACAGATGAGGGAGAGAATAATTTTTTTTTTTAATTTTTGTGTGAGTGTACCATCAAATCAGATCTGACTGGTACAGGAGGAGATTGTCCCTCCTTTTCCTGGCAGAGCATCTGGTGGATTTGAACCGTGTGCCTCTGGGATTGTAGTTGCAGCTCCTTGCCACTAGGCCACCAGAGCTCCCCGAGGGAGAGAATAATTTTAAAGCGATAGATGATAGGGTATTATGGTTATCACAAGAGTCCAGAATTAAGGTTGCATATTGGAGTGTACTGGGGCGGTGGGATTGTATACCAAGGAAGAAATTTTTCTCTTACTTTTCAAAGAGAGATGCGAACTGGGGGTTGAGGAGGAGGGCTGGGCAGGGAGAAAAGCACAACAATGAATGAATGGAAATCCAAAATCTCTGTAAATATTCATTAAAATTAATAAAATTTTTTAAAAAAGAATGAGCCCTAATATGACATAAAAATATGATTATTTCTTTGTCTTATTAAAATTGAATATGTTGAAATAAAAAAAGAAAACATAGAAGCATGCTTATCAAACTCTTAGTGACACAAAGCTTGGAGGGTGAGCTAAAAACTAATGATGATGCTGAAATTAAAAATCATTGCAGAATCTTGAAGAAGCCAATGTCCAAGATGAAGTGTAACAGAGAAATTGATTGTATTGGTAAAGAGTATGCAATATTTGGCTTAGTGGGTGGATAAGAGGTTGGATTTACCACCAGTTCAGTATGAAGCAATGATGTGGTTTCCAGAAATACCAGAGAGATCCTGCTTTTCCTTGAAGGATGGTCAGTGTCCAGACAAAAAATAACCTCAATGCCCTGACTTGAATTCTGCTCTGCTGAGACCACACATATCTGGAGTACTGAATCCTGTGTAGGTCACTGAGTATGAGGAAAGGCCCTGGCAGTGCAGAGCTTGTCTAGGGGAGCAGTCAGGAAACCCAGAGAGAAGGAAGAGGAGTTGCCTTCCATGCTGTGTAAGGGGCCAGTGCTAGTTATGGGGAGGCAGTCCTTGATTCAACTTGTGGGAGAATTTTCTGTCAACTCTAAGAGGACATGAAATGGGCTTCTTGTGAGGCAGTGAGGCCCCTGTCCCTGGAAGTGCATCACTAGAGGTAATTAAGCACTCATTAGTGATGTTGTCAAGAGAATTTTCAATCCTGGAAGAGACTCCGACTGTAGACCCCAAGAAGTCCACTTGGTGAAGCTGCTCTGACAGCACACCCGAGGAAGGCAGGACAGTTACTGAGGTGTGCTCCTCAGAGAAGGGCATCCCGGAAGGAGGGAGCCGGGTGTTGGAAGGAACACAACAATGTTCTGTGGGATCATAGGTGAGATTGATGCCCCGAGGGGTGGGTGAAGGCCTTGGTAATGGCAGACATTTAAACCCTCTGCCACAGGAAAGTCTTTTCTGGCCCAACAGACACCAATCCCTGGATCCAAACTTCCAGGCAACTGGTGTTTCCTGGACTAGAGATCATTTTAACATTCAGTCATGGTGCAGGGTGGGCCAGGGTTTCTTCTAGCTGATGTAGGGTCCCTGGGTCTAAAATAAGGAGTCCGTACAGGTACTGAATATTCTCGGTCATTCTCTGGCCACAAAAGTTTTGCAAAAGGACTTGCTGATGGCTAGAAGTTAGGGATAGCCAAGGGAAACACACCCTCTTGTAGTCTTTTCATAAAGAGAGGTACAGAGCAGCAGGAAAATAGAGAAAGAAATATGACACACAGAACCCTATCTTTTTTTCTTACACCTTCTGTTGACTATCTTGGTTGCCTCTTATTTCCCATATGGTTCTTCAGGCCCATTTGGAAATACAAGTGGAAACTGAGGGGGATTCTGGGAGACATATTAAACACAAAGAATGAAAAATTGAGCAAGCCATGGCCTCACTTCTAGCCTCTTATGACCATGCAGGAGATGCAGGGAATGTGCATGGTGCATGGAAGGGGGGCTGGCGTGGAGAGGAAGGCTGCAGGGCTGTAGCCAGAGGCCACTGAGGTCTGGGAGGTGAGGGGTGAACAGAGTGGAAGACAAAAGAAAAAAAAGGTTTTTAGGAGATTTCAACAGATGACATTTGCTGCCTCTTCAGTTGTATGGCAAGCTGTGGAGAATTCTCCTTGGAGCTTTTCCTGTGTGGCTGTGAATGCTCACATTATGTGCACCATCTATGCACAAGGGAAGCCCTGTTCCTTGGGCTAAGAAGTTAAGGTGTGGCTTAGGAAGGACCTGACCCCAAGGCTGGGTGGGAGGGAGGGAGCTTGGAACAACACCTTCCTCACAGGTATTTGACTGTAACCTCCAGAGCAGAGCGAGGCCTGGTCTTTTATAAGGTGAGTGAGGTCACCCTCCTGAGACCTTCAGGGTCAGAAAACCAAATAAAGGCACACAGAGAGAAAGCTCATGCCTCTTACCTTTCTCCAGCAGCCACAGTTCTGTCCCCGAGAGAAAACATGGTCACTAATCTCCCACCAGGCTCAGTGAGTGGAGAGAGTGTGGTCTGAGGCAATTTCTCTCAAACTAGTTCTTTTCCCTGAATCTGACCAAGGTTCTGGATCCTGGAGTGGGGGAGAGAGCTGGACAGGAGAGGACTAAGGTCAAAGGCTGATGACCAGCTCCCAGGGTTAAGCAAAGTGTAGAGCCCAATGTTTAATTAGTAGAGCAGTTTTAAAGTTCAGTCAGGCCTCAGAGAAAGTATGACCCCCTCTCTTGCCTCCACTCCCTCTATTTTCTCCATTATAGGAATGAAAAATGGAAAACATGTTCACCGATTGATATTTGGTCAGAAAAATACATGACTGAGGAAAACATTCCCCCCCAATTATATAATTGAACCACAAGCTAGAAATTAGTGAATATAATTGAACAAATTGAATGTCTCTTTTCCTGTTGCTCAGTACACTCACTTCTCTCTCAGATTTCTTTTGGAAAAAATAGAATCTTAATATCTGGGTTTAAAAGGGGTCATAGTACTAGGAATGTTGTAGCTAATGTTAGAAGGATCTTAGCTGAAAGCCGCGAATATCAGAGGAATGTATATCTGTGTTTCATTGATTATGCAAAGGCATTTCACTGTGTGGATCATAACAAACTGTGGCTGACTCTGAGAAGAATGGGAATCCCAGAACACTTGATCGTTCTAATGTGAAACCTATACTTGGACCAGGAGACAGTTGTCAGAACAGAGCAGGGAAACACTGCATGGTTCAAAATTGGGAAGGGCGTACGCCAGGGATGTGTCCTATCTCCATACCTTTTCAACTCAAATGCAGAACAGATTATCCGGGAGGCTGGGCTCTATGAGGACAAGTGTGGCATCAGGATTGGTGGAAGATCTATAAACAATCTGCATTATGAGATGACACAACCCTGCTTGCTGAAACTGAGGAGGACCTGAAGCACTTGCTGCAGAGGGTCAAGGACTGCAGCCTTCAATATGGATTGAGGCTCAATGTCAAGAAGACAAAGATTCTCACCACTGGGCCAGTTGGCAGCATCAGGATGGATGGTGAAGAGACTGAGATTGTTCACAGCTTTAGTTTGCTTGGCTCCACAGTCGACTCTCTTGGCACTAGCAGCCAGGAAATTGAAAGATGTATTGTGATGGGGAAAGTCTGCTGTTAGGGACCTCTCCAGGGTACTGAAGAGAAATGTTGTCACTCTGGAGACTAAGGTGCACCTGATAAATGCCGTGGTCTTTGCAGTCACTTGTTATGCATCAGAGAGCTGGACAATGACTAGGCAGGACAGTAGGAGAATTGATGTGTTTGAGCTGTGGTGCTGGAGGAGATTATTGAATGTACCATGGACTGCTAAGAGAACAAACAGACTCATCCTGGAGAGGGTTAAACCAGGCTGCTCCTTGGAGGCAAGGATTCTGACGCTTCGTCTGACATACTTTGGACATGTTGTAAGGAGAGACAGGTCCTTGAAGAGGGACATCATGCTTGGGAGGGTGGAGGGACAATGCAGGAGGGGAAGACCCTCTATGAGGTGGATTGATTCAGTGACTGGGGTAATCGGGATGGGTGTGTCAGACACAGTGCGATTGGCACAGGATAGACCAGGGTTTAGGGCTGTTGTACATAGGGTCACTATGAGTTGCAAGCGACTCAACACACATAACAACAACAATATCTAATCAGAGGGGTAGAGGAGAAGACACTTTCTGAGAGAAGATGCGGCTACTGTCAGGCTCCTGAGAGCTGAGGTGACTCTTATCCAGGCTATGTTATGATTATCCATGATGGTTGTGTCTGTGCCCCGTTGTAACATTCCTCACACATCTGAAGTGATAGGTTGGAGACTTAAAAGCCCCAGGGTAAATGCTGAGGGTATTTCAAAAGTGAGTGAACTGATCAAGAGATACTTAGCCAAATTTTACTGAGAATCAGGAGGAGGAGAGTAAGTAGTTGTTATTGGATGCATTGTGTTAGTTCCAAGTCTTAGCTATCCTGCGTACAACAGAACAAAACACACCTGAGTCCCGCACCATTGTCACAACCACTGCTCCGCCCGAGCCTAGACAGTGATTAAAGAAGAGCACTGAAAAGCCCGTGGGCCGCCAAAAGAACAAACATATGTCTCAGAGAAGGTGCAACCAGAGTGCTCCTTGGAAACAAGGTGGTGAAGCTTCATCTCACATACTTAGGGTATGTAACTAGGAGAGGGTTTTCCTTGGAGAGGGATATCATGGTTGGGAAAGTGAAGGGCCAGTGAAAGAGAGAAAGACCCTTGACCAGGTGTGTTGACACAGTGACTGTGGCAATGGGCTGCAGTGTATCAATGATTGTGAGGAGGGCACGGGATAGGACAGCGTTCAGATTGGTTGTTCATAGATTCCCTGTGACTTAACTCAATGGCACTTAGCAACAAGAAGCGAGTGATTATTGTAGTCACTGTATTATCCTCCTCATTGAGGGTCTTCTTTTTCTTGAACTCTCTGCTTTACCAAACATAATCTCCTCTCCAGGGACAAGTCCATCCCTGTTGTTGTTGTGTGCTGTTGAGTTGGAATTGAACCATAGCTGACCCTCAGAGGCAGTTAACCACACAGGAAGAGACTGCTCCTCTTTCTCCCACAGAGAAGCTGGTTGTTTCGAACCATGTGCCTTTGGGATTACAGCCTGGTTTCTTAGCACTAGGCCACCAGAGCTCCCAGTCTCTCCCTTTAACCCGCCCAAAATATACAAGGTGAAGTCTCTTCATTCTAACTCCTAAGGAGCAGTCAGGGAGGGAGCACTGGTGGCCTAGAGGTAAGGAGTTGTGCTAAAGAGGAAAGGGGTTTGGATCCATCAGCTCCTCTGTTGGAGAAAGATGGGCAGTCTCTTCCCACGCAGTTAACTGCCTCTGAACACCCACTGCAGGGTCAGCTATGAGTCGGTTCCAACTCAATGACGTAAGACGAGAAGGAGAATTCTGGCTATACTTTCTCTATGACAGTGTTGTAATGATTGTTGTATGTCTTCGAGTCAGAACCAATCCATATTTGATCTGCTAGAGAGTTTTCAGTGGCAGTTAATCGCACAGGAGGAGACTGGCTATCCTCCCGCTGAGCTTTTATTGTTTTTCTTGTTACTTTTACTAAAGGAGATTAAGTACAGTAAAATGAATTAGGATGAAAGACATTTATTTCTATTTCTTCTAGTCAGGGGGAATCTGGTGAGGTAGTCATAAAGTCGTGTGCTGCAGACTCAGAGGTGGTGCCTCTCCAGTAGTTACATGGGAGAACAATGGCAGTCTCCAGAGTGACCTACAGCCCTGAGAAATCTACTGGAAGATCATCTATGAGTCACTTCCAACATGGCAATATGAGCTTTTTGGTTTGGGGGGTGTGTGTGTGTTTAAATAGTAAAAAGCAGCATTACAGTATTGTTGCAGTGCTGTTCACATAAGCAAGCCACCATGTGTAGAGGAAGATGCTTTGAAGATGTTACTGTTGTAGAAATTGCAGAGAATTCTTTACTCATCAGGCACGTAGACCCCATCTGGACTGAGATTGTCGTGACTCTTGGCCATTTCAGGCCCAGGACGCCTCATGACAATTATGCTGTGCAAATATGCTGGAGTTACAAGGAACTGTCTTAGAAAGTCCCCTGTCTATGCTCAGAGGTTTACTGTTTACCACTTTATATTAAAAACAGTTGAAAAGTCTGCAGTTCCACCCTATATGCTCCCCAAATGCAGGAGCCCTACCCAGGCAGGTGTGCATATGGACTTTGGGAAGAATAAAGTAAGACAAGATACTAGAGAGTGATATGGGATGTGGAGGGGGCCAGTGTAGAGGAACTGACATTAAAGCATGTCAGAATTAACTGAGGGAGGGAGCTACATAAGTATTTTCGAGAAGAGCTGTCTAAACAGAACAGGAAGGACAAAGGCTCTGAGGTGGGGGCTTGCTGCTCACACCTGCTGTTCCAGATTGTGGTTTGGAGGCTTGTCCTTGCAAATGTCTTGCAGGACACCAGCGGAGGGAGTGCTGAGGAAGGGCTGGAGGGGATCTGGTGAACATCTACAAAGAAGACTATGGTCTAGGTACTGCCTGTTCAGGGAGTTGAGAACTATATATCAAGATCAAATTTAATTTGTTCACCAAATAACTATGAGATATCATCTCACCCCAGCAACAATAGCCAAGTTCAACAGGCCAGCAAACAATAAATGCTGGCAAGGTTATAGAGAGATTGGAACTCTTGTACACTGCTGGTGGGAATGGAAAGTGGTCTGGCACTTTCTCAAAAAGTTGGAAATAGAGCTCTGGTGGCCTGGTGACAGGAGGCTGCACTGCAATCCCGAAGGCACGCAGCTTGAATCCACCGGATACTCTGCTGGAGAAGGAGGGGTAATCTTCTCCTGTGCCAGTCAGATCTGATTTGACAGTGCACACACACACACACACACACACACAAATATTTTTTTTTAAAAAAAGTTGGAAATAGACATATCATTTGACCCCATAATTTCACAACTGGAAATACACCCTAAAGAAACCAGAGCCTTATGAGAACAATTTTGGTAAACTTTGAGGATAAAAATAGTTATACCTTAAAAAAACAACAGAAAAACAGAGCCATGACTGAAACAGATGAATGCACATCCATGTTTATTGCTACATTATTCACAATAGCAAAGTGATGGAAGCAACCCAAATGCCCATCAACAAATGAATAGGTAGAAAACAAATGGTACAGTCACACAATGGAATATTATGCAGCATTGAAAAACAACAAACTTGTAAAACATTACACAACACGAGGGAACCTGGAGGACATCATGCTGAGTGAAATATCTCAGTCACAAAAGGACAAATACTGCATAATACAGCTACTATAAAATAGGACAGACATGGGAGAGTTGGGGAGAGAACAGAAAAAGAATGGATATTGATCAGATGAGGAGAAGAACTGTCCAAAAGAAATATATGATTAGGCATTAAATAGTTGACAATACTCAGGAACAAGGGGTTCCCTGTGGGGAGGAGTGGAGGGGAAGAAAATGTGCAACA